CACATTTATTTTGACAAGTCAGGAATAAGCACACATTATTTAAAATTAAATCAGATTGATTTTTATTATTTTCCTTCCTAGTCTTTCCTCATTTATAATGGTGTTAGTTGGCAACACTGTACATATATATTACTATAGTACCACCATACACCGTTTTCAAGAAACACACACGATCACATTACTGAATTTTTAAAAACATGGTTAAAATACAAGTGCACAAACTTGCAGAACAAAAATAATTTATATGGCTTACTTTTCTCAAATTCAAGAAAATAAAAACCTCCAATTTTAAATTAAGACATTTTCACTGCATTGCAGTGAACTGTACATGCACAATCAATGAGTTACCATTTCTCAGCTGAGGAATTCAAATCTTACTAAAAATTTAAATAGATCACTTAAACTTGTTTTATCATGCTTTTACTGAATTATGTCATCATTTAATGAAACACCTTAATACCATTTGCCAAAAGACATTATCTGTGTAATGTCGTGTGCCAGGACCAAACCTCTGTATCAGATTCAGACACGGTGCTCCAGCCTTAGATAGGCACTAGTTCCACTAGTTTCCAATTCCTCCTGGCACGGCACAGTACTGCAGTTCTTCTCTAGGGCTCACTAAATCTGATGTTTTCATATGAAGGAACTCCTGTCAGTCAGTATCTATCAGCATGGCAGAAAGCGAATGCAGCTTGCAACAGTTGCTTAAAACAATGCTGAATGTCAATTTTGGTATCACTGATCTAGATATTCCTTGGATAAGACCTACAACTACTCCCAGGGAAGTGAAGGAAAATGATAATTTCCAGGATCTCAAAGAGGAAGCAATGCTTAAAGTGTCTGCAGTCTTCAGGTTTTGATGGCACTGATTAATGTCTGATTTTGACACTTGCAAAGAAATGAAAACAGCTATTGAGCAAAACTGGATATGGATGTACTGACTGAACTCTATTACAGTGGTAAAAATTCATGGATTACATCTAAGGGGGAAGAGTTGACATGTGAATGCTTAGGACGCTGTATTTATTAAGATACAGCCCATGCACGGGTAACTCCGGAATTTCTATATTCTATCAGCATCACATGAGGTTGTCATAATTAGCTGTCGTATGGCACAGTAATAAACAGAAATCTGTGTGGAAACCGAAATTAAAGAACTATATTTCATTGCAGCCTAAGTGTAATTCCACTCTTCCATCCGCACTGTTTCAAGCGCACAGAGGGTAATGTGGCTATCTAGATACCATTCCTATCTTTCAGTCTTCTCACCTAGTAACAAAAAAAGAAACAAAAACTCTACTTCAAAATATTTCACTGATGGAACTTTTTTTCTTATTAAGGCTAAAAAAACCTAACAGACTTTTGGAAGAGGGGATGACCTATGAGTTATTTAAGCTACAAAAAGCAACAATTTTTTTCACATGTTCTAAAGAACATTTAAGCAAATTAAAAACAGCTTAACAACTTCACATAAGTTGCTCATACAGTTCAAAACAAACTAATCTTTTTCCCCCAATTTCCTACTACACACCAAGAAAACGATCACTGAAATAATTAGCAAAGATTCTTGCATAAGATAGTCATAAATTTTTTTGTCAATAAGATTTTTAACGTTTTGTGGTGGTGCTTTCCGAAATCAAAAAAACCCTGTACAAAACTTGGAAAGTGATTCTGAGTAGACTGTGAAGATGAATTTTCACCACACAGTGGAAGGCACTACCAATGCCTTGTATCAGACAAGTTCTGTAAACTCCAAACATACAGATCTCCTTCAGGAAGTTGTGTAGATAAATAAGTTTGCCATTTTCCAGCAGTAGCGTGGAAACATATTTTAGACATGCACTGCTGTAGAACAGACAGCAAAACATGAAGAATTATTTAGTAAGTGACAGACAATATTAAAGATACTCAGGAAAGAAAACCCACAAGTTCTGCACTAAATTTCCTGTCAAAAGCATCTGGTTCACAAAAGATGTAAGCAAAACAAAACCGTATACGGATCCGTCTGTACCTCCCTCTGCTGTTCCCTCACTCCTCCTGAAAAGACCAGAAAAGCTCATCTTGCATGTTGTTTCTAATACGGCCTCGGAAGGTCATCTATTGTTCTTAGACCTCCTTTGCACATCTCACGACTAACTAGGTCACGGCCACTGCCATGCTCCGCTTCATATCTGACTTCATTCTAAAATCACAGACCTCCCCGCCCTTCTCCTTTAATGCCATTCACAAAAATCACAGGCCCTGAATGAATTTACTCCTTAAAAGCCAGCCGCATGAGTTTTAACTCCTTCCCTGTTTATTTATACCCAGTCCAAGACTTTTCAGTATATTCCTGAAATGAAGTCAGTAACTCAGGATGTTGGGAATTTGAGATGACTAACTTTGCCACAAGCAGAACTATAAAAGCAGACTTTGGAACCATTTGGAACAAACTTTGCCAGAATGACACCTGCTCAGTTTTTCTCCATTCAAGGAGGGTATATATCTATATAGATCGATTGGTAGATCTATCTATCTCTCTCTTTCCCCATTCAAGGAGAATAGTGCATGCATTTTCAACAGGGATTACCTGTTCCCAGACTTCAATCTAATCGCTGTGCATACCTGCAACTTATTTCTAGTGTTTTATATATTAATATGGGTTTAGCTACTATTTTTCTAAAATACCACTTTTTTGGTTATGAAGGCATTACCCACCGTGCTAAAATACCTAAACTCTCTCAGTTGGCCTCTTCTTCCTGCAACTACTCCTTACTGCTTTATCTACAGCAAGCAGCTGCTTAGAGCAAGAGTTCCACAAAGAATTTATATGGAATTAACATGAATCACTTAATTTGTGTAAAGATAGCTTTTTGTGCTATACTAAGAAAGAAAGCTTAAAAGATTAAATAAAAAATAACGGACAAATTAGTCCACAAAGCCTCCTGCTATTTGCTGCTACTGTCCACAGTTGACTCTACTGCCAACTTTTGCAGTCTTTACTACCATCTTTCAGTAAGATTAGTTAACTCCAATGATATATTTATAGCAGAAAAATTAACAACCTGAAACAACATAAAACCTATCTCAAATGAGGCCATAGTTATTATCGCTAAATAAATGCTTTTAAAAATAGTATATGTCCATAGGATCTATAGTGACAAGTACTTTATGAAAAACAAAACAAACCAACAACCCACACAAACCAACAACAAACATTGTCTTCAAATCAAGAGTCTATCCTTCAGTCCTAAAATTCTCTATAAAAATGACAGTTTTATATACAGGAATACTTCAAATACTATTTAAGTTCAACATGAATTCATTTTTTGTAACATGTTCCAGACCAGTTATTTATGTGCATACCGTACATATATTTATAAAGGTAATTATCCTCTATAGATCACCTCACTGTACAAGTGATTCGGTGTTACACACATGTAAATAAGACACGGGACCTACTAATCTGACGGAATTCTAAAGTAACGATACCTTCCATAGCAGTGCTGCTGCTGTTTTTGACAGACACCGTCTACTGTATCAGATGCTTCAGTTCTTAAATTGATACACACCAGGAACAGACATGAGACTTACAAATACATTTAATCTGAGCACTAAGGCTGCAGTAAAGTTGATAAAACAAATAGCTTCTGCTGAAAGGAGCTGTCTCCCTTTTCCAGAAGCTGGAAAAGACGCCACTTCTTATGTCACTTTAGGGAATTAATCTTCCAGAAAATTAAACTAGATCTTGGTGTGATCAGAAAAACAGCAGAGAAAACATGAGAGAGAAAGGTGGTTACATACAGCCAGGACAGAGAAAGGTATGGAAAAACCTGGACCTTTCAATGGCTTCTTGCCATTAGGTTGATGTGAAATCAAAGGTTACACATACACAGTGTAAGTTCACTTAGCCACAAAGAGGAAATAGGAAAAAAAAAAAAAAAAAAATCCCCATGCTAAGTTAATGGTTTCTGTTTTTAGAAAAGAGACAAATCCATGTTTAATTACTGCATTACATCTTAAAAACAACTGCTGTTCGGAACCGGTTAACACAAAGTCTGTTACAGAATGAAGCCAACTGTTTGTAGTATTACACTGTAACAGAGGTAAGACATTTCTGTTGTAAGACAATGCAGTGAGATAAAGAGATGAGAGGGAGAAGGTATGTATGATCTACAGAATGATTGCCACCTGTACCTACAGCTGCCATCAGATATGCTGTTGTGTGTATAGCTACGCTGGATGAAGGAGTTGCCACCCCGCTTCATCTCCACTTGCTCATTACCTTCAAATCTTCCAGCATAACTGCATGTTTAGTCACTTCCTAACCCAGTTCTGTCAAAATGATTCCCGTTAGAAAATCTGTGTTTCAGCTTAACTCAGATTATTTTTGACAGAACTTGTTTAGCGGATGACTATAAATGCAAGTACCAGAAGATCTGAGAACACTGTAACCTTTAGAGCTAGAAAAGGAAATAGCAATGAGCAAATGGAGACAGCTAGCCCTTTTCCATGGTTATGCTGCTGCAAGAGAAGCCCATTAATCAGACATATAGGTCTGATTTGTCAGCCTGCCTAATCAGTGAAAGCTGTACATCAAGGCTGGCATCTTTAAAGAAAATAGATACGTAATTCTATATACTACTTATTTTACTGCTTAAAATGTCAGGTTGGGGTTAAGTGTCCAGAAATTCAAATCATTTGTTATAACTACCTGGAATTCTACTCTACAACAAGAGAAACAGGCAGATGCTATTCAAAAGATATAAAAAAATGTGATATTTCTGTGGAGTTAAGGAATAAATACCAACCTCACCTTCTTATCTTAAATTATCATAACAAGACCTGAAAAATTACTTAATTGCTTTCTATGTATTACTGATGTGAACAAATAGCGTCTGTGTTTTTACTTGTTAAATGGTAAAAGTAGTACAAAAACTACCTCCAAAATGCAGCATCAAATTACTATCACGTAATATACAATATTGACAGGAACGTTCTTGATATATAGATCACCTTACCTTTTATTAACAGGCTTCTCATCCTTGTCATAGGGTCTTATGAACCATTTTCCAATTCTTACGAAGTTTTTATCCATCAAGCACCTAGAAAATAATTACAGCAACAATTACTACTTCCATCTGAAAGATGGAATTAAAAGCAGTCTTTGAAGACAGTAAATCTAAGGGATCAAGCAGCTGAATTTCCATCATATTGAAATCAACTTTGTAGCTTTTGGGTTCCATGTAACTTTGCCACTTTCCATTTACTCCCACTAGTCATAAAGAATCACTGTCCAATCTCATGATGCTGTCACTGATTCTGATCTTCACACATGCATTTTCCCCTCATCTCTGACAGGATCTTTTCTGCTCCATGCTACTCTTTTTGCTGAATGATCTATCATCCTATTTTTCAAACTCCTCTTCTTGAACGAAGACAATTCATAACACCAATTCTTTTCTATACAGCGTTTCTCTCAGATTTCATGATAAAGAACATGCATTCCTGTATTTGTGGCATGTGAATGGCATGGTATAGTACATGAATGACAGGAAATTGTATTAACCAAATATTAACAATGAACCATTTTTCCTTCACATGATCCACAGCATGATTTCAGGTATTGAAACTTCCATAATTACTGTTTCCTCTCTCAGAAAACCTCACTCCAACAAACATACTCCCACGTCACTAAATTTAGAACAATAAGTTACCTATTTTCTGTGGTCCCTTTAGAAGTGCACAATTTCTTTATAGAAACTGTATATTCTGTGGCTTTAAAAAAACAAACAAACAACCAACAAACAAACAGTGAGGATGCAAAGTGATCAATAACCAATTTAGGTTGACAAGTTAAGGAGTGCTTGATGGCTTTCTAAGTCCACCTGTGCAGATGAATCACATTAGCAATATGCCAACACAATTTAAGTATGCTTCATACATTAAACATGCAGTTGAACGTACTGCCCAAGGGATCACATACAGAAATTTGTTATGAAGGAATATTTTTCAGTAAGGTAAATATCTTTGTTTCAAAAACTCCAGAAAAGTGGTCCTTTGTTGCTAGTGGCTTATTTACGATCATGAGCAATATAAGAGCTTTCCCTATACATTTCAGGCCTAATCAGTATTTCTTTATTTAGATGGCAGAACTATACTTCTCCATGCTTTAAAGTTTTCCAATAGTTTATTTCTATAACAGTTGTTAGAGATTAGCCAAAATAAAACAAAATTTAAAATCACATGAAACCTTCTGGCAAAGTACATTCTGCAAGGTTTAGAAAAACTGCATGATCTATACTTCAAAAGCATACCTAGATGACATAGATAGGAAATGTACAATGTAGATACTGATACGCTCCTAATTCTTCTGTATAAACTTGGCAGGGCTTTCCAAAGTTAAAGCTAGGCTGAAGAAAATTCTAACAGCACTTTCTCAATTAAAGCAAAAAGAATCCAGTTCAATTGAATATATCAATATCTTAAACTGAATATGAAAGCTAAACCAGCAGAGATCTAAAGACACTGCTCTTGTGCTGGTGGGAAAAAAAGTATGCTTCAGCAACTGTTTCCGTAGGAAATATTTGCTATCTGAGAAAGTCTGGCAGTGTCAGCGTACTTTATACAAACAAAAGGAAGTCTGTGAAGTTTACATCAGATCCCTAAAGAAAATAATCTGTACTAGCAAAAAATATAATAAACTCTCCCCCATCACACACACACACACTTTAATGCCACATCATCCTGTCTCATTAACTGCCTCAAACTAATGCTACTTTCCTAGAAAAAAGTCTTCACAGGTAGACTTGGCCTTAAAAATCAGCTAACCCCCACATGCTAAACTAAATCACAGGTTATTTAAGGTATAATCCCAGATGAAATGGGAAACATGACTGCAGAAGCATGGATCTCGGATTCGGACAAATGAACAATTAATAACAGTACGGCATTATTTTTGCTGTATATACACTCAATGGTAACTAGTCTTTAACAGTAAGCTGTAACAATGAACTTGTGTAAAAGAAAAAAAAAAAAAAAAGCTGGTCATAAAATCCAAAAGAGTATACACTTAAGAGCAGTTACTTAATCATATTAAATAAGGACATAAAATACTCTGAACTCCTTGGCTCATTTCTCTAGTTAAGGCCGAGTGGTATTTTCTTCCTAAGCAGTACAGCTGTTAGAGCATTTCACTGCCACTTGACCTCTCATATTTCTGATTTTTCTATGAAAAAAGTGACCTGACAAGGGCACACTAATGATTATGAAATAATACCATAATATTTGGAGTATTATTTCCTCAGATCTTCTAACGCTTTCTAAATTGCCAATTATCATAAACTTCAGATCACTAATTTCCGTACTGAGAAAAAAAAAAAAAAGAACATACACAGTTGCGTAAATACCCTTTCTTGCCCTTGCCAGGCTTAACTTAAACATCTCTCCTCCCTTCTTCCTAGTCACAACTATTTTCACTCCTCGGTGAGGCGACGGCTGGAGGAGGAGGTGGGGGTCACCTACACTATGGTTCTTCCTGCCGCCATTTGCTTCCCGCCACAGCAGTTTTTCATGCCCCCTCTCCAGCAGCTGCCGCTTTCTTCTCGAGCGCGGCTGAGCCGTGGTGCTGCGGGCTGCTCTGGCTGGCGGGAGGCTGGATGTGCGACAGAGCCGGCTGGAACCGGTTCTGAGCGGCACGCGGCAGCTGGTGCCTCCTGCCACCCGTCCCACAGAGACCAGCGCTCCTTGTACCAGCTGAATCACCACAGCTGTAGCTAGTCAGAAAGACCAAACTGCCCTGCTAAGAAAATTACATCTTGGTGGGACACAAGCGGTTTCTGAGAGAAGAAAGTCTGTCCTTCACTAACTGCAAAATAAACCAAAAAAACTCCACAAAACTTCAAACACAGGCAACAGCCCTGTCGCTTTCTGGTAAGATCAAAAAGAAATTCAAGACTTCTTTTTCATTAATCAAGCTTCTTCCAAACACAGGATAAAATGGGTCCTTAAAAATTAAAGCATTATTTCTCTTCTTAATAAAGCCTACACTCTTATTGCTATTATTTTAAATGAAATAATTACGATGTTAACTTAAGATTTGGTACGACAAACAAAAAACCCCAAAAAGCATATAACTTAAAATAAACTCAGCTATAATTCTGTAAAATTGAGGTAGCTAATTGGATAGGTATTTGGTAAACCATCCTCCTGAGTCACCTCGACAACTACTTCATCAGAAGACTTCTAAAACGAGGGTGCTCCTGAAGGCGTGCCCCCACGGCCGCTCCAGCCGAGGCGCAGGTGAGCAGTTGCCCAGCCCCAGAGCGAGGCCCCGCTTGCAGCCGGCCCCGCCGCCTCGGAGCTGCTGTCGGCGCGCGGCAAGAGAGCGGTGGGACTCTCATCTCCAAGGGCAAGAGGCCGAGACCGTGGCAGGAGTCAGATCGGCTTATGGGGACATGAAATGAGGCTTTCAGCAAACATTTGACGTGTGTTGACCAACTGTTTTTCAAAGACTGAAAGAAAAAGAGCTCTGAAGACTTTTCCGTCACAGCTGGACAGAAGAATTCTGCTAACTCTGCCAACTGATTTCAATTAAGCTATTTAAAAAAAAAAAAAAAAATTAAAAATTTACTTCACAAGCTTAAAAAGGTCCAATGAATAAAAATTTCTACTAGGAGTCATACTTAAAAGTCAGCTGGCTGGGTACCACAGATTAATAAATAAGCATAAAATTATTTTTCCCTTTTACACTGCAAAGCTACAAAAGAACTAGTGAACATTCTAAACTGGGAATCTCATTCTTATACTTTTATTCACTCTGAGTAGTTGCCCTGGTTTCAGCTGGGACAGAGTTAATTT